AGCCCCGCCTGGCGCCTGCCTCGGTGCCTTCCCCTGTGTGTCCAGTTGGTCTCCGCCAGCGCCCTCGGACCCAGTGCCTTCCCTGCCACACGCCACACACACCCCCACCCCTGTGCCTGCACACTCTTTCTGCCTCTAATTACAGCGGAAGTGTTTTTGTTCTGGGGCCTAGGACGGTGCCTGGGACAAAAATCCCCAATAAGCACTGAATGAATGAATGAACGGACGAATGAATGAATGAGTCCCAGCACCGCCTCCCTCACCCTGTTCCCCGCAGAGAGAGCCGTCTCTGCCACACGCCTTCCCATGGACGCCTGTGCACTTTGGGGGAAAGTAGCCACCACCATGGGGGAACCCCACTGCCCCCCATCCCCTTCTCCCGTCTGCGGGCTCCTGGGCCCCGGCCTTCCCCTCCTCGGTCTGCACAGTCCGGCAGGCGGCTGTGCTCCTCGGGGCAGCTCCATGTGCCCGATGCCAGGGGCGGGGCTGGGGACTCAGCCTGCCCCCCTTCCCGCACCCCCCCCCCCGGGACACGTGCAAACAGCCCCGGCTTCTCCCCGGGGGACTCCCCGCCGTATCAGCCCCGCTATCAGCTTGAGCAATTGCCTTCTCGCTGCGGACTGCGGGCTGCTCCCTCTGCACCGGTCACTTCTGCATCCGGGGCCGGGCCCGGAGCCCCAGGAAGCGCGGTGGTGCTAGCGGCTCGGTGTGCGACCCCCGTGCAAGCACCCCAGCCCTTCCTGTGCCTCGCTCCCGGCTGCACTTCTGACTCGGGAAGTGGGTTTCCCTGGGCCTGACCCCCCATCCACACACACACACACACACACACACACACACACCCCGCAGAGGGCGCTCCCCCTGGGCAGGTTGGCCTGGGCGAGGCGGGCCGGCGTCAGACCCGCACACAGTCAGACAGAATCAGCAGCTGCAGCAGCACCTGCCCATGCGTGCGGGAGGGTCCGGGCTCCGGCCGGGCTCCGGGCTGCGGGCTGCGGGCTCCGGGCTGCGGGCTGTGAGCTCCGGGCTCCGGGCTCCGGGCTGCGGGCTGCGGGCTGCGGGCTGCGGGCTGGGGGCTGCGGGCTGGGGGCTCCGGGCTGTGGGCTGGGGGCTCCGGGCTGCGGGCTCCGGGCTGCGGGCTCCGGGCTGCGGGCTCTGGGCTGCGGGCTGGGGGCTGCGGGCTGCGGGCTGGGGGCTGCGGGCTGCGGGCTGGGGGCTGCGGGCTCAGGGCTGCGGGCTGGGGGCTGCGGGCTGCGGGCTGGGGGCTGCGGGCTGGGGGCTGCGGGCTGCGGGCTGGGGGCTGCGGGCTGGGGGCTGCGGGCTGGGGGGCTGCGGGCTCCGGCCGGGCTGCGGGCTCAGGGCTGCGGGCTCAGGGCTGCGGGCTGCGGGCTGCGGGCTGGGGGCTGCGGGCTGGGGACTCCAGGCTCCGGCCGGGCTGCGGGCTCAGGGCTGGGGGCTCCGGGCTGCGGGCTCAGGGCTGGGGGCTGCGGGCTGGGGACTCCAGGCTCCGGCCGGGCTGCGGGCTCAGGGCTGGGGGTTCCGGGCTGGGGGTTCCGGGCTGCAGGCTCCGGGCTGCAGGCTCCAGGCTGCAGGCTCCGGGCTGGGGGCTCAGGGCTGCAGGCTCCAGGCTGGGGGCTCCGGGCTGGGGGCTCCGGGCTGGGGGTTCCGGGCTCCGGCCAGGCTGGGGGCTCCGGGCTGGGAGCTGCAGGCAGGTCCTCCAGCTCTCACTCCACCCCTCAGTGCCTGCCTCCGCCCTCAGGGCACCGTGGCCCAGCGAGGCTGTTGGGGCTGGCCGTCCCCGTGGGCGTGGTTCTGGGAAAAGAGTGACCAGGCCGGGACCCCGGCAGCTGCACCAGCGTCCATGCCTGGCCCCCCGAGGGGTTTGGGGTTTAGGACCCGTGTCTGCAGCCACAGGGGTGCTGGGGATGCGCCCCATGTCCCAGCCCCTCGCACTAGACAGAGCCAGGGCTGTGCGGGGGGGAGGGGGGGGCACCGGTGCTGGTGGGCAGGAGGACAGGACAGCAAAGAGGAGTCTCCCGGCCCTGCTCAGGGGGCTGCACCATGTCCGGCGGCCGGGCCCACGGGCTCCCCAGGGCCCCCTCCTTTCTCAGGCCCCCCCTTCCCCCCGCTCCTCCTCCTGGGTCCTGCACCCTCCTGCTTGGCACCTGTCAGCCTCTCAGCCGCCCCCCCCCCCCCCACCGCGGCTGGACTTCTCTCTCCTCCCCGTTCCTCGGGGGGCGTGTGGGGCTCCTGGGGTTCCTGGAGCAAGGCCCCCCGAGGGCCCCCCCCCCCACGCTCTGGGTGTGGCTTCCAGGTCAGGGCAGGGGACCTGGCTTTGGGCAGGCAGGGGGGCTCTCTGCCTCCCTCGCTCGCTCGCTCCCCCTCTGTCTCTCCGTCTCTCCCCCCCCCCCCCCCCCCCCGGTGGTGAGGACTGAGGCTGGAACAGGCCCAGGAGGGGTTGGGGACAGGGGGAGGGGGGAGGGGGAAAGACATGCCCTGTCCCTGGGACCCAGCCTGGGGCCTCGTTAGGAGGCGGGTAGTCACAGGGGAAACCCTTTAGAAGAGGCATCAGGGGCAGAGGCTGTCCCTGTAAAGGGCGGGGGCACTCAGAGACGGTCGTGCGGGGCCGTGTGAAGACAGGGAGGAGCCCTCAGGCCTCAGAGGAGCAGCCGGGCCGGTCCTGGGCGTGGGCCTCCGGTGCGCAGTGCGTCCTGGTGTCCGCGCCTCGTCCAGGGTCACGGACGCTGTGAGCTGTGAGTGCCGAGCCCCCGAGGAGGCTCTTGTTCCTGCTCCCCTTTGCCTTCGCCCAGAGGAGGGGACAGGGCTGAGGCCGCCCGACTGACTGCACAGGCCCTGCCGTCCGGTGTGAACCACGTGAGAGGTGGACGGCTAAGATGCACTCAGCAGGGGGAGCCAGGGGCTGAGCATCGACCTCTGAACCAGGAGGTCAGGGTTCGACTCCCGGCCAGGGCCCGGGCCGGGCTGTGAGCTCCATCCCCGTCTCCCTTTCTCTCTGGAATCAATAAAAATACGTATTTTTTAAAAGTGAGCTGCTTTTTAAAGGAGCCGCGTTGGGCTTAGCTCAGAGTCGCCTGACGGATGAGGGGCAGCCATCCTGTGCGGGCCCCTGCCTGGGCCCCCACGCACTGCGCTCCCTGCAGCGGACTCTCCGCCCGGCCGCCCGGCCCAGCGGGAGCCACAGCCCCGGTGCAGGTGCTGCTTTCAGCCCCGCAGTCGGTGGGAAGCTGATGGGCTGTTAATGCACCGGAACCGATCGGCGAATGCGCTGCGGTGGCAGGTCCTGGGAGCCCACACGTGTGCCGGCCGGCGTGACCGGCCCCGGGCGCTTCCCGCTGAGCACAGCCGGCCGGGGCTGACCGGCCTCAGTGCGGCCTGGCCGGGCGGGGCTGTCCAGGCCGGGGCAGCAGCATGGAGCCGGCGGGCAGGAGAGTGGACGTATTTGAAAGCCCTTAGGATGCATTCAGACCCTGGCCCCCAGGCTGTTCTTAGGGACAGACCCACAGCACAGGCTGCTTCCCCGTGGGGGCAGGGGGCAGGGAGAGGCGGGCGCTGCTTGGTGCGGGGTGTGTGTGTGTGTGTAAGTGTCACTGTCCTCCTGTTTTCGTGAGGGGGCCTCTCAGCTGGAGGCTGTTTGCTCCGTCCGCTCAGACACGGGCCAGCACTGAGCACTGGGACAGTGGCCCGTGCGTCCCTCTCGGGCCTTTCCCTCCGATGAGACCACTTTTCAGCGCTGCACCCCGGCCCAAACCAGCCCCCAGCCCCACAGCTGCTGCTGTGCTCCGGCCTGGGCCCTGTGCATGCCCTCCTGGGGCTGGGGCCTCAGAGAAGCAGTGTCCGGCCGCGGGCAGGGCGGGGAGAGCGGGCGGCGGCGAGGCCGGCCATCTGGTGCGGCCGGGGCATGAGCGCATCGGCACATGGCCCGCGCCCCCGCGCCCCATTGTTCTCCGCCTTAGCTCAGCGACTCCACAAAGGGCGGCTCTGCCTTCGGGATACACAGCCGCTGAGGGCCTCTCTTCCCCCTGGGTGTGTCAGCCTCCGAGGGGCTCCTCGGCCTGGGACACCGGTGGTGGTGGTGGTGGTGTGGGGGCTGCCGTCAGCCGGGAGAGTGCGGTTCTCAGCCGGGCTGCACAGGCACGAGGCGCCCAGCTAGCACCGGTGTGAGCTCCCCTCCGGAGCCGACGTGAGCCCGGGGGGACTGGGAGCTGTTCCCAGTCGTGTGTGGCAGGCAGACAGAGTTTAGCTTCAGACGGGGCAGGCTGCGCTGTGTTTTCTGCTGTGTTAGTCCCCGGGCCTTTGTGGCTCCCAACTCACTAAGAGAGGGCTCCGGGACCAAAGCATCTGCATTCCTTCACCCGTCCTCCCCCCGCACCCGCCGTCCGTCCGTCCGGTCAGCGGGCAGGATGTGCTGGGTGCTGCCCTCCACCCGTACCAGGGTGACCCCCGCCCTGGCTCGCTCACCTCCCAGACGTAATAAGCAGCAAAGACACACGGAGAACGTGGTGGGGGACGGAGGCACAGAGCAGGGTGAGGTCTGGGAACGTAAAAGGAGGTGAAGGTATTGCCTCAAACTCTGTTGTATTTTGTTCTTTAGACTCCACAAGCGGCATCTGTAATTCTTTCAACCATAGGATTCTAAAGAGAGAGATGGACGGGCCTGGGAGCGGTGAGCGGGTAACCACACGCCATAGACTGTCGCTCAGCCTCACAGGATGGGGCGCGGACGCTGCAGGGGGCGGGGCCTGAGTGTGAAGAGCCGGGACAGGCCGGTCACATGTTGTCTGATGGCCTTAGTATGACGGACCCAGGATGGCAAGCCCGTGGCGCAGGAGCAGGTGGGGGTCGCCCGGCTGGAGGGCGGGTGTGTGTCGCTGTGCGGGGAGGGGTACGAGGGTGTACTTGGCAGCCGGCGGCTTGGGGGTAACAAGAGGCGGGAGCTGCTGTGCTGGGAGCCCCGATCTGGTCCCTCCAGACGCCGGCCTCACCGCGCCTCCACACGCACGGAGAAGCGGGGGCCGCCGGCTGCGCCCACGATGACCAGCAGCTCTGCAGGGCCGGCCCGCCTGTGGGGGAGGGGTTCTGGGAAGGGGAGAGGCAGAGGAGCCAGCCTAGGCTTGTGGGGGGGATGAGGGCCCCGCCCCCCGCTCCCCGGCCCTGCCCTGCGGTCTGCCAGTGCCTGGGGCACCGAGTCCCTCCCGCCTGCCCTGGCTGAGCTGCCATACCCCGTGTCTCCCCGCGTGGCAGGGCCTGGACGGCCGGGAGAGTTCAGACCGGGGTGACGGGAGCCCCGCTCACCCTCCTGTGCCTTCCAGCTGCCCCTCCACAGCAGGCACCCACAGCTTCCTGCCGACCCCCAGCTGCCGGGGCGTCTGAGGGGCACAGACAGAGGGACGAGCGAGCCTGGCACCCAGAGGGAGGCCTTGGCCGGGAGAGCGGGCAGGGGCAGGGGTGTGTGTGTTGGGGGGCTGTGAGGTGAGGGGTAGAGGGTGAGGGACTGCGGCCTGACCTGCCCGCTCCCCCCGCAGAGCGCCCTGAGGCTGTCAGAAGGTGCCCTCGGCTTCCAGGTGCAGGGATCCCGTATGCTCGCCTGGCAGATGCGGGGCCCCAGACTCCCCGGACATTTTTGCCCCACGCAAATGTGGTCACTTTGCAGGGGGGGTCCATGTCTGATTCCCAGGGACCCCTAACCCCTCCCACGGCCAGGGGACTCCCAGGCCTGCAGCAGCCTGGGCCCGAAGCTCTCCCCACACACACACCATGTCTGTGTGAACCCAGGTGTCTGGGGGAGCCATGAGGCACACAGACGTGAGGGTCGTTTCCAATTACTGCACCCGGTGTGAGCAGCACAACCCAGGAACCCGCCCACAGGCTCACCTGCTCCTGACCTGCACCCTCCTCCTCCATGGCCTGGTTCCACAGGAGCTGCTAATCACCAAAGCCTGTCTGCCATAACCCTAACCTAACCCTAACCCTAACCCTAACCCTAACCCTGACCTAACCCTAACCCTAACCCTAACTCTAACCATAACCTAACCATCACCCTAACCCTAACCCTAACCTAACCCTAACCTAACCCTAACCTAACTCTAACCATAACCATAACCCTAACTCTAACCATAACCATAACCTAACCATCACCATAACCCTAACCTAACCCTAACCCTGACCTAACCCTAACCCTAACCCTAACTCTAACCATAACCTAACCATCACCCTAACCCTAACTCTAACCCTAACCTAACCCTAACCTAACTCTAACCATAACCATAACCCTAACTCTAACCATAACCATAACCATAACCATAACCATAACCTAACCCTAACCTAACCCTAACCATAACCCTAATCCTAATCCAAACCTAACCTAACCACTACCCTAATCCTAACTCAACCCTAACCCTGACCCTAATCACTATCATAACTCTTCCCCTACCCCTAACTAACCCTAACCTCAAACCCTAACCCTAACCCTGACCCTAACCACTACCCTAACCTGAACCATTACCTAACCCTAACCCTAACCCTAACTCCAACCCTAACCACTACCCTAACCCTAACCATTATTTAACCCTGACCTTGACCCAGGGTGAGGGGACAAAGTGATCCAGATGCCAAGCGGGAGCAGGAGGAGCTCAGGGCCCGCAGGGCGAGGGGGTGGGGCCAGAGCCTGGGCCTGTGGGTGTGGGGGACCTGCTGGGTGCGGGACCCTGGGTAGGGTGGGGGACCTCATGGTTCCTGGGTTACAACCTTGCTGCCCCCACTTACAGCTGTGCCCCAGCAGGTCACTCCTCCCCTGTCAGTGGGATGACAAGAGCCGCCCTCACAGCCTTATCGTTACCATGATGTTACCGTGAGGACGGAATGAACGGCCAGCCCAGCTCCCCGCCGTCAGCACCGGCTCCTCCGCCCGCCCTGCCCCCTGTCCCCCTGCAGCACCCCAGGCCGCCTGCCCACCCTGCCCCCTGTCCCCTGCAGCACCCCAGGCCGCCTGCCCACCCTGCCCCCTGTCCCCCTGCAGCACCCCAGGCCGCCTGCCCACCCTGCCCCCTGTCCCCTGCAGCACCCCAGGCCGCCTGCCCACCCTGCCCCCTGTCCCCTGCAGCGCCCCAAACCACCTGCCCACCCTGCCCCCTGTCCCCCTGCAGCGCCCCAAACCACCTGCCCACCCTGCCCCCTGTCCCCCTGCAGCGCCCCAGGCCGCCTGCCCACCCTGCCCCCTGTCCCCCTGCAGCGCCCCAGGCCGCCTGCCCACCCTGCCCCCTGTCCCCTGCAGCGCCCCAGGCCGCCTGCCCACCCTGCTTCCCTGTCCCCTGCAGCACCCCAGGCCGCCTGCCCACCCTGCCCCCTGTCCCCTGCAGCGCCCCAAACCACCTGCCCACCCTGCCCCCTGTCCCCCTGCAGCGCCCCAGGGTCGCAGGCCGCCCCTGAACCAGGGCTCCTGTGCCTGGGGCCCAGTGAGGGCAGAACCTGGGTGCAGACTGGGTCAGCCGAGCTGTGGGGGAGGGAGCTGGGGACCACCTCACAGACATGGGGATTGGGGCTGGGCCCCCACAATGGGGGGGGCGCACAGGAGGAACCCGCAGACCGCCGGGCTGTTCCTCTCCCTCCTCTTTGCCCCCTTCTCCGGGAGGGTCCCCACCCCCATGAAGGACCCTCCTGCCCCCAAGTAGCCGCTGGGACTCCCTGGCAGCACCCCCATCGCCCCAGGCCCGTGCCCCAGCCCCGTGCCCCAGCCCCGTCCAGCCCCTGCCGCCCTGGAGCCAACAGCGGGGCCTAGCCGCCTGTGTGGCCAGCGCCCGCCTTTCTGAGTCCGGGCTCTGCTCTCTGTGGCCAGGTCCTGCTGGGCGCCCGTTTAGGGGGTGCTTGGGGCAGGGGGGTGGTGGCTGGGAGCCCGGCTTGGAGGCTGGGGTCCATCCCAGCTGGCGGCTGGCCGCCCAAGGGGTGCTTGCTGCTGGAGTGGGGGGTTCTTCTTATTTTTTATTTTATTTTTTGCTTCTAACAAAGGCACCCCTACTCACCACAGCCGGAGCCGCACAGCACAGCCGGGGCCGCTGGGCTGGGGATTCCGGAGTAAAACTGTCCGCTCTCCTCTCCTCAGACCGTGGCGCCCTCAGCCCTCCTCCCCTCAGCCCTCCTCCCCTCAGCCCTCCTCCCCGCTCCCCGCTCCCCGCTCCCCGCTCCCCGGTGGCGCTGGGTGGGCAGGCGGGAAGCCCCCCTCCCCGCTCCCCGCGCTGGGCCTTCCGGGCGCTGGGTGCGGTGGGCAGGCAGCGAGGCTGAGGAGCCGCAGCCCCGGCCCTGGGCGCCCACCCCTTGGCTGGCGGCGGTTCCCATGGAGCCCGAGCCCAGCCCCCGCTGGGGGGGAGCCCCTCCTGCAGGGGAGTGGGGGGCCTGGCTCAGGGCCAGCTTTAGAAATGGGGTCCAGCACCTCCTCTGTCCCATGTCCTAGTGTCCCCGCTCAGGGCCCTTCCCCCGGTGGCTCCTGAAGAGGCCCCTGGCCCAGCGGCCCAGCGGGTCCGAGGGAGATGCCCTCCGCGAAGCTGCTCTGAACTCAGCCGGACCGGTGCGCCCCGGCCGGACCCTGTGCACCGCGCAGGCCGGACCCCTGCGCCGCCCAGGCTGGGGACTGCAGCGGGGCGGCGGCGCAGGAGACGGAGGGGCGGAAGAGGGGCTGAGAACAGGGCTCACCGCGGCCCAGCACCAGACAGGCCGGACAGGTCGCAGTTGGAGGCCGCTGGGCGCGGGAGGGTCGTTCACATCGCGGGAAGGGAGAGATGGAGGGAGTGGTCCTGCCTCACGCCTGCTGGTGGCCCGCAGCTGCCACGGGGCTGGGCCTGGGCGGACCAGGCTGGCTGCCCAAAGCCGAGGGGCGGCAACGACAATCCTGCCCCACACCCCCAGCCTGAGCCCTGGAGCCCCCGCCCCACTCCGTCTCAGGCGCTGAGCGAACATCTCTCTTTCAGCACTCAGTCCTCAGCCCTCAGGCGCCTGGAAAGGACCGGAACCAGGGAACCAGAAGGGAATCAGGCTTCAGAAAAAACAACATGGGGGGAGGGGAGTGAGCCCCCCAAGAAAGGGTGTGTGTGTGAGAGAGAGGGAGAGGGAGGGAGGGAGGGAGGGAGGGAGAGAGAGAGAGAGAGAGAGAGAGAGAGAGAGAGAAGGAGGGAGGGAGAGAGAGGGAGAGAAGCTAGAGCACAGAATAGGCACACAGCCCTCCTCAGTCCCCTGGGACGCCCCATGGGGGGGCTCCCATGGCCCCCATCGGCCTGGGAGAGGACCCCCTCCCCGCTGCCCGCCCCCGCCGCTGGAAACACCCGACTCCCGCTTTATGTAAAATCTCAACACTTGGTCATTTATTTCTTTTTTTTTTTTTGCAACAAAACAGGTAATAAATATTATTTAGCACTTTTTTTTCTTTTTACAAAAATAAAACAGGTGATACACTCTGGGGGGGAGGGTGTTACTGACAGACGCCGTTTGGGGGACACAGGAAACACGGAGGTGACATTTGTGTTAAAAGTGACAAAAGACACGGACGCTGGAGGCCCGGCCAGACGCGGGCGGGGGCCACGGGAGCACACGGTCCACAGCACGCACACCGGTCACTGCGGTATTTACACATCGGGAGGGAAAGCGGGCCGCCGGGACCCCGAACCCCAAACTGTGGTCACAGCCACGGCCCGGAGTCCCCCTGCGGTGTCAGTCCCCCAGCGGGTGAGGCCGGCCCGTCGGGCGCCCAGAGGCCGGAGCGGGGCGGGCGGCGGACTCTGAACAGAAAAGCCGCCGCGGAGCGGACAGGGAGGGCTGTTCGTCCGGGTCCCGCGCCCCGCGCCGCCGCCGCCGCCGCCGCCGGAGCACGGGTTCCCGCAGGGCGGGGGCTGACCGATCCCAAACCGACCTCTTCGCGGCCCCGGCGCTTCTGGCACCGCCCGCCAGCGTCCGCCCGCTCCCTGCCCGCGTCCCCCGCCGCTCCCGGGCCCTCCCCGGAGCCCCACCCGCCCAGACACTGGGGGCAGGAGAGGGGGTCCCCAACCTCCCTCCCCGCCCCCCCCCCGTAACGAAGTGCAGCCCCGGAGAGCCGGTCTGAGAGTCCCTGGGGAGAAGGGGTACTGGGGGGCTGTGCGTACAGCGAGGCCCCCTTACAAAGCGTGTCCGCCGGCCAGTCCCTGGGCGCGCGCCCGGCTCACTCCCCAAGTTCAGGGCGCCCCAGGGGGCCGGCCGCGCAACCCTGACCCCAGCCCAGCCCCAGGCCCAGCGCCGCCGGCCCCGCTTCCCCGCGGCCCTGGCTTCCCCGCGCCCCGCGCCCTCCGCGCCCCGCTGGTCGGAGGAGCCGGCGCCGCTACTTGGCGTCGGAGGCGAGGCGGGGCAGGCCGCCCGCACCCAGGGCCGCCACGTGGGGGTGCGGGGGCGCCTGGCACATGCTGCAGGGGCAGGGCACGCCGCCCCAGTGCGGGAAGCCCGCGCCGCCGCCCCCGCCGCCGCCGCCTAGCGGGGCCCCCGCCGCCGCCGGGGCCTTGAGCAGGCCGTGCGGGGGCCGGAGGGCGCCCACCGAGGGCAGCGCGGCGGCGGACACGGCGGCGGCGGGCGGCAGGAGCGGGTGGTGCGCCGCGGGGTGCCCAGCCGCGGGGTGCCCGGCGGCGGCGGGCAGGGGCGCGGCGTGGGCCAGGCCGCCGCAGGGCGCGGCGTGGAAGGCGGCGTGGTGGCCGCCGTACAGCTCGCTCACCAGCCGCTTCATCTCCTCCAGCGAGCTGCTGAGCATGAGGATGTAGTTGCGCGCCAGCAGCAGCGTGGCGATCTTGGAGAGCTTGCGCACCGACGGGCCGTGCGCGTACGGCATCACCTCGCGCAGCCCGTCCATGGCGATGTTGAGGTCGTGCATGCGCTTGCGCTCGCGGCTGTTGATCTTG